GAAATTAATGTATTAAGGATTGGATTATTGATTGAAATTTGAAACTTCGAGCAGCATCTTGATTCGCCGGAAAACAATCCAGACCTACCATGGGAGTTCTCGGAAGCTAACAAGCAGAAGGTAATCCAAAATTTCTTATCTTTCATTTATCTAAAATATATTTATTTCTTTGTTTTGTTATCTCTGGAATGCCCCCTTCTATTGTCATTTGTATTCGCATATTATTTAAATGACGATGCAATGCAATTACTGCGGCGAAAGACGTGTAATTGTTAAAAGATGAAAAATGGGAGAAAGATTGTGTAATTTGGTTGTCAATGTGTGCTTTAGGCTGAGCTATTTATGTCGAACATTACAAGCCCGGATATTTAAGCAATGATGTTTACAAAAGGTTGAGGATTTTTCTTAGCACCCTCAATTCAAACATGCTCGGTTTCGAATCTAAGCATTACTTGAGCCCAGAGGATGTTGAACTTTCCAACCGCGTAGCTAAGTTGATTTACTAGAATTGGGTTGTCCTATAAGGTTTAAATCTCCCCAAGTTACGTATCACATTTTAGAAAGTTTTCTTAATGATTCATATGGTGATGATGTTATATAAGTTTTTGAATTGAGCTTCTGAATATAAACTGTCAGACCACGAGCATTAATTATGTCCATTACTTGGCACTTGCAAGATTACTTTTATGCTTATTGAGCTCTAAAAGGTGTCATCTTTCCACTTTTAGGCGAAAGAGATATTATCCCATTATCCATCCAACTACAAGCAGTCTGCAGTGATTCCTCTGCTGGATCTTGCACAGCAGCAGCATGGAGGGTGGCTCCCTGTTTCAGCAATGAATGCGGTATGTTTGCATGGATGCTTGTTTTGAATGATGTTTATCTTGTTCTCACTTAAACATACACAGACGGTATATAGTGCCGTTCTCACAAGTTGCTAACTTTTGATTAGTTGCATCTCAACATGCGCTTGACTCATTAGCATTTATGTTGTTCATATCTGATACACAAGATGTTATCACTTAACGCCTATGAATTTTATTGGGATTATATATGTAGATTATAAATACACATAAGAAAACTCTCCTAGGGTCTTTAAATTAGGTCTGATTGAGGGTATGATATGTATTGATGCTTCAGTTCTCACCCACTATGCACCTCAATCATCCATATCTGATCAAAAAATTAAAAATCTTAACCTTATTATGGGACTTGCAAGAGAAAAGTATATGATAGATACCTACTTGAGGTTTGCTTTTTCCTAGATTCACTGGGATGCGTTGAAGTATATGGTAGACACCTTCTTCTTTGCCTAGTTATTAATATTGTATTAATTGTACTTTAAGTTTTTCGGTTCTTGTTATATGCATGCGTATGTGCGTGTGTGTGTATATATATTAGTTGCAAGCCCAATTCGAATCATATTATAGTTGTTAGATCAAACTAAGATTCATAGGTGTTCTGTTAAAAAGGAGACAAATCTGGGGATCAGAGTGATTCACTAAGACTCATTTGCCTAGTTAATTGTACGATTTAACAGCATAATAATGATGCTGTCATCACTACTAAGGAAGTAATCGGCAGGAGTTAAATTATTGAAAGGCCTTAACTGAAAAAAAACTCCTTGAGCATTTTTCGCTGTTTGTTTGAAGGTCATACTTCCAATACCTTAGAATAATTCTAGTCTGACACTTTTTCTTAATTTAGAATATATGAATGCTTGCACAACCAGCAGTTCCTGCTTTCAGTTTATTTAACAAGATGAAAACTTGTTGGACAATGATATTTAACAATTTAAATCTTGTTTGACAGTGATATTTAGATTGTGTTGTTGCAGTATTAATTTTCATCTATAATTGCCAGGCTAGCTATTTGTCTGTTGTTATTTCATAAGTTTTCTGTTCAATTAGGCTGGTGGTCCTTTTGGTCAATTGTTCATCTATCCGTGAGGATTTGTTTATGAATTTGGTGTGCGTTATGTGTTGTGTTATTCTTTCTGCATTAGGGGTGGATATGAGCAGCCTAGAGGGTTAGTGTCTGTCAGTGTTTGTCAGTATCCACTTTGTCCATTTGTTCGACCAATCTGAAATTCAGGCAAACAAGTAAGGACAATTGATAAATAAAACAAGCATAGATGTAATTTCTTAACCTGAATTAAGTGTTGCCTAATAGTTTAAGAATTGTCCAACTTTTAATTCAGATTAAGAAATTACATCTGTATTTGCTTTATTTACCAATTGTCCTTGAACTTCAGATTGGTTGGACTGGCCTAAGTGGAGTTCTATCCCTAGATTGCATCACATATTTGTGAGATTCAAACTTTGCTCTTGAAATGCAATTTGATCCTTAGTATAGTAATTTTTTTTCACAGCTTAACATGTTAAAAAACTCATTATTGTGGTGATTTGACGTTCCAGTTATTGGAAATTAAAGAGGCTACATGAACAGTTTAACTTATTTTTATTGTTTCATGGATGGTCTAGGTAGCGAAGGTAATAGAAGTTGCACCTATACGTGTATATGAGGTTGCAACATTTTACTCAATGTTCAATCGGACTAAGGTAAAAAAGTTTTCGATTTTATTATCTATGTATCATTTTGTCATTATGCCAATTCCTGTACCCATGTGCATTTCTTTGATTGGTTTTAGGTGGGTAAGTACCACCTTTTGGTTTGTGGTACAACACCATGTATGATTCGTGGTTCACGAGACATTGAAGCAGCTTTACTAAAACATTTAGGAGTGAAGCGCAATGGTGAGTCTTATGCAGTATCTATGGCTTTGAAATCCTTTATTTTTTTTCATTTTACACCACTAAGATAAAATGGCATGTACAAGTAAACTTTGTATTGGCCATGTGCAGAAGTAACCAAGGATGGATTATTTTCTGTTGGAGAAATGGAATGCATGGTGAGTCTGTTCTTAACTGTTTGGTGATCTGAACTTTCTGCTTCTGGCTAGTCTTTAGCACTGGTTTGGCGTGATTCATCTTGAATACGATAAGAATAGTAGAAACAAATAGATACATTGGTGAGTAATGGTCCATGAAACTTTTATTATAATGTCTGGTGATAAAATTTAGAAAGGCTGGTGCCTGAAAACTTAAAGTTACAGTTTCCGACAGAGAAAAGACTCATCTCATATCAACACAAATTAAGAGTTAATGTTGGTATGGAATTTCACTAGTTGTCCTCACCATCCTGTTATTCTCACTATTCCTCGGTTGACAGCCTGTGACCCTAACTATGATAAATAACTTCTATCGACCCTGTTTTTACCCACTTCTTTTCTGTAATGTTCCTTTCCAACAATTATTGCCATTCATTTTGAACGAGTGATGCATGGACTCATATAAGTCGTTTGTTGTCTACAGGGAAGCTGTGTGAATGCTCCCATGATTACAGTTGCTGATTACTCCAATGGATCAGAGGGATATACGTACAATTACTACGTGAGTTATGACTTTATAAATTTATTATTACTCATGTCCTATAATATTGATCAGAAAATTTTGGAGTTTATATTTGTATTCTTGTCAATTTCAGGAAGATGTTACTCCCGAGCGAGTTGTGGAAATAGTTGAGAAGTTAAAAAAGGGCGAGAAGCCACCGGTAAGGAAACTAGGTTTTGTTACGTTGTGAAACTTTTCCTCATCCTAGTTGATTGCTCTTGTTTAGATTATCTATATTGTTGCGATGAAGTGTAATACCATTTTTCCACATTTTCAGCATGGTACTCAGAATCCTAAGCGCATTATGTGCGGTCCAGAAGGAGGAAATACCACGTTGCTCGGTGAGCCCAAACCTCCTCCGTGCCGGGATCTTAACGCATGTTAAAACTATGATACATGTCTCTAATAAAGCAAGGGTTGATGCCGTCAGGGTTCCCTTTGCTGTTAGAACTTGTCGAATTTGTTATGCTCGACCATTTTTTGTACTAAGATGGCAGTATTATCTCTGCCGGTGATGTAATTGTGTATGTTTTCGTCTTTCAATATGCTGTGGTTTAAGCTACACAGCTTTTAATTGATATCCAGAACTTAAACCAGCTGAATCTTTGTCTCTTCTTTTATAATAACTGAGTTGTCAAAAACGTTAAGGTCGTGGTGAATTGGAAAGTATTTGGGCGGAAATTCTAGTCTGTTTCGGTGTATGTCGTGCACTGGATGCATCATACATGAATACAACTTTGAGACTTGGAACAAGATGCAGGTACTTGTACTGTGTCATGTCAGGACTTGTACCGTGTCATGCTAAACTGCTAGTTGATGGGAAATGGTAGATGATACCAAATACCCAAAGAGGTACGAAGGGGGATGCTAGTAACCTTCTCATTTGGACCTTATCGACTTTCCTTTTCATCATACATCGCTTTTTTATGATTGGAGTTGTCCACTTTTTAGATCACCCTTTAAAGATTGTCATTGCAAAAACTAACTAAATCTGAAATCAGCTAGCCATTTAATAGTTATTTAACACTCAAGTTTTGACAACGTTGATCAAATAGTTAACTATTTTTTTAGTTGTAGATTTTTACGTGGTTAATTTGGAAAGGGTTATTTAAAAATTAGACGGTTTTGTTTATTAAGCAACATTACAAAATGAGAATAAAAGTCGAAAAGGTAAAACAAAGAAAGTTGCGAAAGTTTATAGCATCTCTTGTGTAGAAATGTTGTATGATACATATTTTATAAGAAAATATTACTTGATGAATATGTTGATTAAGTTAGTTGATAAAGATAATGTATTTATTCTCTAAAAATTAGAGAAAAACTTACATGACTGAATTTACTGTCACCGTTGTTTTGTAGTCCATAATATATGATATCCTGCAAGTTTTTTTTTTTTTTTTTTTTTCAATATGTGAAAGTTTGTTTTTTTTCTTTTTTTCTTTCAATTAGACTCTCTGACGCTACGTGTTTTCAATATCATGTTCCTTCCTCTTCTTAGACCCTGACGAACTGTTTCGGGAATTAGCCATTAGCCAAACACATCCACATCGCTGTCGTCACTTCCTAAGACAAAAACAATGTCTGTTTTTCAAGTTTATCGTTGCTGACAAACTATAGCTCCTCTCTTATATTTTCCCCAACATATCGTATCATCATCTTATCTGATCGTCCAACCAATCCATTTGGCTCAGATTCCAGCTACCTTTTCTCTCGTTTTCCTATTTATTCCCACTTTCTGTTTGGCTGCCGAGAAAAAGAAAACAAGCAATTCTGGTAATGACCCTTTTGATTTTCAAGCCGCCTATACTGAATCGCTGCCCCAGAAATGCATAAAATTAACTATGTTTGGCGATGAAGGATAAGATTTTGTCAAGTTTTGATTTTTCTTGGCAAGTTTTCTCGGCCGCCAAACACTGCAGCCAAATCTTTTGAAGTGGGAAATTAGTGTTTATTTATTTATTGATTTCTGGGTTTTGTCTTACAGGTGTAAGTGCTTAATGGGTTTATATTGTTTTGCTCAAATTTTCAGTTTTGTTGTTAGAACCAATGGGGAATGCCTCTTCCATGCTAACTCAGTACGACATTGAAGAAGTCCAAGAACACTGCAACTTTTTATGTAAGCTTTTGTTTTGATATTCTATTTGTCTCTCTTTCTTTTGTTCCCTTTTGCTATTGTTGTCATTAATGCTAATACTAATACTTGGTTGTCTGATTTTTGTGTGAAAATCAGTTTCTCAGCAAGAAATTGTATCCTTGTATCAAAGATTTTGTCAACTAGACAGGAATGCAAAGGGTTTTATCTCGGCTGATGAATTCCTATCGGTCCCCGAGTTTGCGATGAATCCACTCTCTCAGGTATTCCACTGCTACGATGAGCTTAGTTGTTTAATCCACTCCGTCTGTTTAATTGGTAATGCATGGTGTGTGTTTCGTAACTTATGGCTCTGCTTTGTTCTTTCCTTAGAGGTTGCTTAAGATGGTCGATGGGTTGAACTTTAAGGACTTTGTGGCCTTCTTGTCTGCGTTCAGCGCTAGAGCTAGTATGCAGCAAAAAAGTGAACGTAAGTGATTGGTCATGCTAAGTTTTACAGTTGTGATGTTTTTGGTTTATTTTGAGTACAATTGTTCTAAATAAGTTATTGGCTGTCGTAATGAGTGGGCTAGGGACTACTCGTATTTCCGTTTACATTATTGATGTTATGACTGTTTCAAATACTCATTTGAATACTTCATGTGTGTATGTATATATATGTATATACATATATGCATCTGTGTGACATGTTCATATATTTTTCTTGCATTCATGACAATTAGGAAAGATCTGCACTCTGAGGAACGTGTTTATGTGGTGGATTAACATTGACATTGTCTCTTTTCCAGTTATTTTCAGGGTATACGACTCAGACTGTAATGGAAGGGTGTCTTTCAATGATATTTTAGAAGTGCTGCGTGATTTGTCGGGTTCATTCCTGTCTGACGAGCAAAGAGAGGTAAAATCATGGATTTACCCGCTTTTGTTCATATAGTCATAGCATTGCAGGACAAGAGTTAAATGCTTTTGATTGAATCTCACCTAATTGGTGGATATTGAGTTTTATATCAAAGTATCAGTTCAACAGTCATTTTCCACAAGTATCATTTAAGTTGTAACATTTTCAGACTAGTCATTTAAAAGATAAAATTGGAATACTCATCATCTATATCTGATCTATGATTAGGTATGCATGTTTGGTTACACATGTGAGTCCTACGTCTTGGTCTTGGCATCGACTTTTTTTATCGTTGTTTGTTTTTTTGACAGTTCTTGACTAGGATACATTGATAAGTTGTTTTACTTTGTTGAAATGTTGTGTAGCCAGGGACCAAATTATTAACTTGCCTTGTGCTCTATGTATTTCAAATGCAGAAAGTGTTGACTCAAGTCCTGCAAGAAGCAGGGTATACAAGGGAATCTTATTTGACGTCAGATGACTTTGTTAAGGTATTTACATTTTGCTGTCATATTTTTTTGTGTGACAAACAGTTATCATAGCAAAGGGGGTAGACAATGTGTACGCTTGCTGGCTTATATCTTTCTCAGAACTTTCTTAGGCTTTTAATGATGCGAAACTTGATATGGCTGTTATTTATATAATTTTTTTCTCATTTCAAAAATGAGAAGGACATACGATTCCTTTTTTAACAGAGTGAAACTCAGAAAACTTATCCAACTAAAAATCTTACAGCGGCTGATTTTATGTCCAAACATATTTGATAATTGAGGCTTATCTACATTAAGTTTACCTTTGTTATTTTAGAGGTCTATATGGAGCCTTGCCAAACAACAGAAGTCAAAGTTGAACATTACAGATCTTGAATTGTTTGAACGCCATTTAAAATGTTTCAGCATTGCATTCCTTTTAGTCCAATAACAAAAGTTGCTCTACTTTGAAAGAACAAAGGAAAGCAAAGCATACATCACTGTTTTATCCGTCATCTTAACACCCAATGACGCATACAAAGTAGTACCCTGTGTGTCTCCATAGCTGGTAGTCTGTGCTAAAAAAACAAGTGCAGTTATTTGTGTTTGCTTTGCTTCATGAAGTTATCGTCTTAAGGAAGTATGAAAAACTGCTGCATTACAGATACTCAGAAAATAGGTGGCTAGGTAACTGAGGTTGTAACTTATATCAGAAATTCATATTTTGTGAACCGAACTTGTTACAGAAGCCTACATTATAAAGTTGAACATAGTGTTCAGTCGTCACATAGCTGTGAGATGCTAAGCCAGGCTATGGTATATTGCCAATGCTCACTAATTAATGAATAATTAAGGTGTTCCCAGTATTACAGCATGTAAATTTCTTCTTCTTTAGAAATTTATCTTTTGAGTAAAATTTTAATCCCAACCCAGAAGCTAGAAAAAGGAGTCATTGATTAGAATGGTGTGGAAATGCCGTCATAGAGATGGTTTAGCCAAATGCACGAGTGTGCTTTATCTTTCAGGGCGAAGGCGAAGTTTTGGTTTTAGATTCTTGGGTCGAGCATTTGGTTTCGCACCTTCCCATTTAAAAAAAACCATGAAATAATCATCTGATTACCTGCCTCTACACAGAAAAAACAAACTTGCAGGTTTAGAAAAGTCTGCATTTGTGTATTATACTGTTTTGTTGTCCCATATTAGCCCAATTTCAAATTCCAGATGGCTCCTGAGACATTGAATATGAATAACGCAATGAATAACTTTTACATCTGCAATACCTATCCGTGGTTTTATTAACTTCTGAAATTTTCATCAGGCGTTTAACATGTTTCATTACGGCTTTGTATCTGATGCAGGTTCTTGGTAGTTATGGTCTGAAAATGGAGGTTGAAGTGCCAATCGACTAAGTTAAGCTGGCCTGGTTTTTTCTTTTCCGTTCGATTTTCCCCCTGTATCAATTCAAGAAGAAGTTTGAAGTGGCGGGTAAACTACATCGACAATCCCTGCTGCACAAATTAGATGAAAGTCGATGCGGACACCCTGTATAAATGCTTCTTATTCTCTGTTTCCAAAGTCAATAAAACAGAGCAGGCAACCAACCTGTGTATCGAGTACAATAAAATGTCAAATCTCTGTTTTTTTTCTTTTTCTCTTCAATTTTGTGGATGGCTACTTCTCCAGGTCCTCTGTAAATTATTTTGTACCTTTCGTTGTTATGGTCTCGTACATTACGGATTCACCGGAGCGGGATCCCTCCTGTCGAAATGAGAAGTTGAGAACATTGTGTCTATACGTTACGCTGTATTTCAGAAACTACGCGCACACTCACACGCACACTATATACCGGAACATAGGATGTACTATGAGTTCTGTTTGTTCTCTGTTGGAAGACAAATTCCTAGGCTTTCCTTGTTGCTTACTGAATAATGATACTGGATGAAGAAAAAAGGGCGAACTACGTTTGCATCCAACAAGTTTATTGTTTTTAAATCCGTCTTCTAAGTTATTTGACTTCTGATCCTTTGTTAAAATGATGATGTGACAATTATTGGATCCGTTTAATGTTGATGTGGTACTCACACTTGCACTATGGACCAAAAAATTGTCATCTTAGAGCTTTTGTCTTTTGCTTGATCGATCATTTGTATCTCAAAATGAAAACCATTCACATTATTTGACTTCAAAACATTTTGGTGCAATTTCATTGTTTCGTCGTGGTTGTAGAAATAGGCGGACAGACTGTTTTTTTGGTAAAAAACGATAACATTAGTGGGTTAAATTGCTAATTGTTAGAGGGAAGAGGGATTGATAGGGATCGAACCTGCACCAGGATGTATAAGCATGATTGTTTTCTGCCATTGCAGTAAGTGCTGTCGGCAAATAAGTGAAGGACTTGACTAATATTTTCTGAAGCTTTGGTTCTATTTTGATTCCTTCACTAGAAAGCCTCAGCTCGAAATTGGAATGGAGCCAAATTCGCCCACCATACAAAGCTGACGATTTTCTTGTTTATCAGAACAGAAGGGAAGGGCTTGCGTATAACTTACGCTTCGCTTGGATTTTGCTGACATTTCCTCCTCCCAATAAGAATGGAGGCCAAATTTGCAGAAAAGGACACTACCTGCAACTGCTTTGCAATTTCCTCTCTCTCTCTCTCTCTCTCTCTCTGAGTACTTCAATTCTGAAGTACGCATCCATAGGCCATAACTGATGATAACACTACAAACACCACCGTCTTTCTTACAAGTGAAGCAAAATCATGGAAGCAATCATAAGCCACTTCCCCCCACATGCTCTTTAACCAATTCTTCTCTATCGTATGCCCTAATATTCTTGTCAAATTATAAAAATTCCAAGGAAAATCATTATACTTTCTGCAATGGAAATTGTTACACGGTCCTGAGTTCAAAACATTTTCATCAACGAAAGAGCTTTCGAGAATGAAGTGTGCAAGTGCAAGCACTAGTGAGGAAGGAATTGGCGGCAATGGTTCTATTTTGGTGCACCATAGGATAGGAAAGGAAAGAGAATTTACTCGGTGCAAGTTGAAGACCGTGTCAAGTGGTAAAAAACCGTTGCAGGATTCAAGTGCTTCAGATTCTAAAAAGGCAGAGAAGAAAAAGCTGCTGCTTGGAGGTGGTTCAACGAGTAAGGCTCTCAATGCTTCCGGTAAGGGGAAGGCTGTAGTGTGCACTGGTGAAGTCGAAGAACTAAACGAGCGACTGAGAGTTCTTGAAGAAGAAACTGAAACTATGAAGCAAGAAATGTTGGAGATTGCAGAAGAGAGAAACAAGTTGATGAAGGAGATATATCAGCAGTTTCAGATGCTAGAAATTGATCCCAGATGTTTGGCAGCAATAGAACTCAAGTCTATCGATGGAAACACAAGTATCTACTCGTCGCAGGTAAATTATGCTATATCCTCAATACATATATAAGTTATTGGTTGGAACTTTGAAACAAAATTTCATTCTTTCTCAGCACTCATGCTGAAATGTTTGGCTGACTGATTTCAATGCATTTGATGGATAAACAGGATCAAAGAATGGGAGCTAGTTTGTCAGATATTTTACGCTGAGATCAAAATCCATCTCTGGTCAACAGAAATCTTAGAGCTAATACTTGGCGATCCTCATGTGATGCATCTATTGTAAACTATATAGATGATTCCATCAACATGTAATCCCAGATAGTATTTGTAAACACCACGTTCGAATCTCCTCTCTATTAATATAGACAACCATATTCTGTTATTTTCATGGCTAGAACTTTACTGTTATATCATAATTAAATAGACAATAATCTCTATTTAAATTGTTCTAACAGCTGCATGTTAAACATTTACTCTTCCATTAAAGAGGCTCATAGCAATGCAAAAACGTGTTCGTAGATATTATATTATGAGATACAAATATGTAAACATCTATAAGACATACATGAGATGGTCTAGAAGCACTAACAAATTAAAGTTATGGCTCACGTCTAGGGAAAGGCTCAACTACATATGCCTAAATAAACAAAAAAGAGTTCAAAGGATCAAAGTTTCACCTGTTTCAGCTTGTAAAGTGAACAGTGAAGGAGGTATACATAAATCTTATATTTCCCCTCTGTAACCACCGGATCCAAAATAATCCCTTCTAGAGCTGGCAATTGCCATGCTTTTCTGATGCTCTAGTTTGGGGCAATCTTTGATACGATGACCAAGACCACCACAGTAAGCACAACCCTTAACCCCGCTTGCATTTGTAATTGCATCCACATCTTCCATTGGATCATTAAGCTCAGCCAAAACGGGTGGAATCCTTTGTTTTGCCTCTTGCAGGAGGTGTTTCAAATCAAGAAGTGTTGTCTCAGTTTGATTCTTGTTTATAAAAGTTGTTGCTATTCCAGTCTTGCCACATCTACCTGTTCGTCCAATCCTGTGAACGTAGTTTTCAATTTCTGGTGGCATGTCATAATTAATGACATGTTGAATGTCAGGAAAATCCAAACCCTTTGAGGCAACATCAGTGGCAACCAAAACATCTTTCTTCCCTGCCTTAAAAGAAGAAATGGCATACTCTCTCTCTTCCTGATCCTTCCCTCCATGTATGGCCACTGCTTCCACTCCTTTTAACAGAAGATACTCATGAATATCATCCACATCAGCTTTGTTTTCACAAAATATTAGAACAGGTGGTGGGGTCTTTTGTAGACATTCAAGAAGGTAAACGATCTTGGCCTCTTGCTTCACATACTCAACCTCTTGAATCACATCAAGATTTGCTGCTCCAGCTCTTCCCACATTTACAGTTACAGGCTTTACCAAAGCACTTCTAGCAAAGCTCTGAATTTTTGCGGGCATGGTGGCTGAAAATAGAAGTGTTTGTCGTTGACCTTTAAAGTGGTCAAAAACTTCTCTTATGTCATCCTCAAAGCCCAAATCTACCAATCTATCTGCCTCGTCCAAAGTTAGATATCTGCAAATAAAAGTAGCATAAGTCTACGAAGCACGGTAAAAGTTTCTCCATATCAAAGATTGTATATCATAGCCAGAATCTTTATTTAAACCTACGAATTAGGATGCCCCAATAACTTAACGTAACTAAAACCAGCCAAATCAGACAACCGTATCGAAAGTTGGAAACCTAAATGTATGGGCAGAAGCAAGAAAATGCACATACACTTGTTAATGGACGACAACCAATACCATAAGCATTCTTAAAATCATTGGAAAACTACCCAAAAAATGAACTCCTTATAATTCAATTGCATCAATGTACAAACTTCATGTTAAGGACTACAAAAAAAATCAGAGTCAATTAGATAAAAATCATTAGGGATTCACGATTCAGTTATGTATACAGGAAAAAGCAGTGTTGTTTGCTCAATATCAGTATTCTAGTATACATTACACTAATAGAATTGCAGACAAAACACCTCAAAATAATGACTTTTAAGAGTTTTTATAATGGCATTCCCTACCTGCAACTATCGAGGTTCATTTTTTTCTTTGCCAGCATATCCTTCAACCTCCCAGGAGTAGCAACAACTATATGGACACCTTTTTTCACAATTTCCAGCTGTGAACGCATATCCACTCCACCAATACAAAGCAACGGCCTTATTTCTGGATATCCAGCCTCTCTCATAGGATGCAGAAACTCTTCCACCACGTCATAAGTTTGCCTTGCAAGCTCCCTGGATGGGCAAATAATCAATCCAAAAGGTCCTTCACCTTGATTAATTGGCATCATAATCTCCTCCTGCAATGCTATCATAATCAACGGCAACACAAAAACCAATGTCTTTCCTGAACCCGTAAACGCAATACCAATCATGTCTCTCCCGGTTAAAATCACCGGAAGACCTTGCACCTGAATGGGGGTTGGCTGAACAATCCCCTTGGTTTTCAACTTCTTCAGAATCGGTTCAGGAAATCTCATATCCTTAAAATTCTTAGTAGGTGGTGGAATATCATCGCCGCTAACTATGATGTGCCACTGCCTTCTAATAAAATCACATTGCTGGCTTGACATCCGCCTTATATTCAATGGGGGCTTCCAACCTGTCAGTAAAGGCTCAGTGTAAGTGATTCCCTTTGCCAATTCACGAACTGACATGAGGGTTTTGCGATCTGATAAGTGCTCAATCATTTCCTTCTCTTGTTGCAGAATCTCCTCAGCTGGAGTAATCTCAGGAGCGTCACGCTTCAACTGTGATGCTTTTACAAGAAGGCTAGGTTTTGCTTCAGCAAGCTTCGATTTCTCCAACTCTTCCTCAAGCCCGGAAGACTTCCCCTTGCGCTGAAGAATCTTCTGAGCCTCCATTGCTCGTCGCTTCGCCACTGGAACATACTCAGAATAATCATCTTCTTCTTCCATGGTTCAAGTTCCTGCAGTCAACCAAAAATCTACAGCAATTATTGAATATTCAAGACATAGGATATCCAAAACAGAAAAAACTAAAGAGACCCAAGAATCCTAACACCAAAATCTTGAAATATATATATAATTTTACACAAGCAAACACTCAATAGAATTGAAACTGAAAAAAGAAAAAGTTAATCAATTTATGCAACAAGGTTATCGATTTAAGCTGATATTCACAAAACTAAGAAAAAAATCCCCAATTCGACGGTATACTAATGAAATGAGGAGAACGACGGTTACATAAGCAGAAGAAGGAGGTGAGGGAAAACTTACAGTCACAGCAGAAGAAAGAAGAAGAACGATAGGGGGCGTGATGCCTACAGCTTCTGCAAAACCAGATGGATTTGATGGGTTTTCTTCTGAGTCTCAAAGGTTTATATCCCGCGGTTTTAGAAAAGAGGTAACGATAGAAATATCTATTTAAATTATATTTTATAATTTATTATTTAAGTGTTTATTAATGTATTTTTTTTATTAACCTATTATATAATTTATAAATATTTTTTATTCTTACAAACACATTTTTATATAAGAAAATCAGTTTATGATTTCGTCACTCAAATTCAGTTTTTCAAAAATTAGAAAGATTTATATAGATATTTTATTTTTTTCTAGTTAACATCTTGTCGTATTATAAAAGCGTTAAGATTTGAACTCATAATTTACCTCATGAAATTCATACATTTTATCTTGAATTTGATATTTCGTTTGATGAATTATTTAAAAAGACTTGTCTTGTTTTCACGGTTTTTAGATTTTTGCCCTTTATTACGCGTAAAAGGACTAAATGACCCTGTTGTGTTAATTGCCTGTCCCTTCTCCTTCCTTCCAAACAACTGATCCCGCATAAAAGCTCGAGAGAAACACAGAAAAGTTCACCGCCGCGAGTAGCACCGGCAGTCAGCCACCATCTCCAAGGGTTTGAGCGAATTGGGCAACACTTGTCTCCTCTACTTGTCAAGTGCGTGATATTTTCTACTCGTAGTTCAGCTACAGCCTACACCACTCCTCTCTGCTGCAATGGAGATCCAGAGTTCCCGCCACACTACTGCTGCTGATTTTATGCTGCTTTCTTTGCTGGTGGATGCTGCCATTCTTGCTCACCAATCTCTTCTTTTACTGATTTTTCAGGTACCCATCACTCAATCCCTAATTATATTATTATTATTTTTTTTTTTATAATTATTTTCTCTAGTTTTGACTTATAGTTTGCTGATAATCTCCTCCAATTAGCTTATAATTTGATGCAATTTAATTATGATGAATTTCATATCTTTCCTGGGCTCATTATTCAATCCCAAGTGATTTTTTCTGTGGTTTTGAATTTGACTTGTGTGGATTATATATACCATGAAGCTCATACATTGATACAATTGAACTATGAGGTTTCTTTTCTCTGGGTAGTTATCAATGATTTTAAAGAATATTTGCTTAATTTGTTGTTGTCCATTAACAAAGTCTTTGTGAATTTTCTTGCGTCTACCTCTACATTTAGGTTTCGATTCGTTTCGATTGTGTTATTTGGCTGTTTTTACTTATTGGGGCATCCTGCTGCAACACTTCTTAGGTTCAGATTAGGGTTCTTCTTTTTGGTTCGAGGCACCAACAGATGTTATCGGGTTTTTCTCTTAGTTGATTGTACTTAACCTTAAATCAATAAAAACTTTATCGTTTCTTCGTAAAAAAATATACGTCTGGGAGTGAAGTGGGTTCCTTGAAATTTCTTCCAGCATAATTAAACATCATCAAGATTGAATATGCACGGTTTTCTGTTGAAGTACAACTGTAATCGTACTTTAGTATTCTATTTGATTTTTCCTTTCGTACAGTTTCTCATCAGCAAATAGAATGTTGAAGTGTAAGGCTTTCAGATTGAACTGTTCTCCTTTTTACAATTGAAGCACTAATGTTCTCTTGGAAGCCTTTAATACAAGCTTCGTTTTTGCAGAAGCGATTAATTCCAATGGCCAAGTATACGTTTGGTTACATTTTTATAGAAAATATATTTACATGCTCTGGTGGTGATGGGTTTAGCTTTATCATATTTATAGTAAGAAAACTGGTTTTCAGACCATCATGCTCTTCAATGTTGTCTAAACATGTAGATTTGAGCATTTTTTATTAGGAGGTACAATGGGCTGAAGATTTGGGCATTTCTGATCTTACAATTTGAAAGAAAGATGCTTATATTTCCGTGTTTGGGATAGTGTATGTAGACATAACGTTTTTCCTAACAGTCCTATTTTTCGAGGTCTCTGCATTACTCGTATATGATAAGCAACTTTTCTGCTTTTTTTTTTTTTTTTCTTTTTCTCAATAAAGGATATGGATTTTCTGCTTTCTTTCAATGAAGAATGATTGGAGTGAAGAGCTTGCTTGATTTTCCAAACTCTACGCTTTTTGATACATGTTATGCATTTTATTTCATTTCTCAGGTTGGCTTTATGTTTGTTATTGAATAGGTTGGATCTTTGCATGATGATGGTGATGCGTTTCAAGATTCAGTGAGAACAGATCAGAGGTAGGAAAGACATTTTGCATTAACTTATTGTATGGTTTGTTGTATCTCCATAGTATGGGGAATGGAAAGTGATGGGGCAGTGCGTATGAGACTGCATTTCAGGTTTCCAATGTCCGAACTTAATAAAGGGAAAGAGCCTGATGCTGAAAACAACGATGCAGGTGAACTAGAGGATGACGACTCTGATGAGGATGAAGATGTCAACGATGAGGACAGTGACGATAATGATGAGGATGACGGTAATGATTCGGAAGAAGATAGTGATGATGACGAAGAAGATTCTGATGATGAGGTTGAGGCTAATGGCGATGGAGAAGATGATGATGAAGATGATGACGAAGATGATGATGGTGATGATGATGATGAAGACGATGATGATGACGAGGATGAGGATGACGAGGAGCTTAACAAGTTGCCTTCAGAAAGAAAGAAAGTAAAATAAAATGTTTCGCCGTGTTTTAGACTGTTTCTTTAGAAACTTGGGGCAGGTCGGAAAATATTACTGTTATTACAACATTATCAGACCCGGAAGTTGCGGCGTCTACCATCTTTTCCGATCTGTTCTTATTGTTTGTAGTCGTTAAAAGTTGAATTGTTGAGTCTCTGCTACACACTGTTCCCATTTCCGCAACGGAACTTAAACTCGGAAAAACCATACCAAAAGAAAAACAGAATCACGTCGGAGGAAAAAACCGAAGTGAACCAACACACATCATCAACGGCTAACGATCATTCACGGTTTGTTAAGTATAAGCACAATTGCACGTTACAAGGGAATTATTTTGTTAATTGAACGATAATGCAGAAGCACTACATTTTCTACACGAGAAAGCTTTGAATCGCAATACAATTTACACACCAATTACTTGGCGTCCAAGTTCCAAAGTAGCTTTCACTCCGGCAACTTCCCGGACCGGAAAATCGCAAACTTGGAGACCTCCGAGTACCGAAACCTAATCCTGTTCTCTTCCAACAAGTTTTCCAGAACCTGCTTATCCCTGTCAGGGTTGGAGCTCTCACACTCGAGCTCATAACACGTCCCAAAATCGTAAATACTCTCGTCCACCTCTATCTTCAGCCCCTTCCACTTATACACACCCCTCACGTTCCTAAACCCACCCAAGCACACAAACCCTTGCCCTCCTCCAACACTGTATTCCTCCCTCACGCGCTTTAAGATGTCGGAGGAGTCAACGGCCGTGAGCCTCCACGGCTCGGCCACGCAGACGCGGCCGAGGACAGGGTCGAAGGGCTCTTCCAGCTCTAGGACTCGGCTGACGCCGTCGGAGATGACGAGTTTGGCCTTGAGGGAGAGAACGCAGCGCCTGTCGACGTCGTAGAAACGGAGGCGGAGGATGGCGAGGTTGGAGGAGAGCTCGGAGTTGGAGCCGTCGAAGAAGATGTTTTCTTGGAATAGGGTTTGGGTGTGGAAGGGGGAGAGGAGGTCGGTGAGCTTTTGGTGTGCGGCGGCGTCTGGGAGGCGGAGCTTCACTTCCACTTCCATTGCTTTGGGGGTTTGCTGAAGGAAGGACCAAACGAGTGAACAATGTCGTTGATAACTGGATATGGAAGCACTTGGTGGTGGGAAATGTGGCTGCGGTTCTGGTGTCACCATTTTGGTGTTCCTTTCATGTCTCCTTCTTTCTTTGGCATGTGTCCATTTACTTGACACAAAATGACTTAATTACACTAACACTCTCTGAGATTTATCGAGTTTTTACAAAATCTTCTCATGTCTGAGACATTATACTAACACCTCATCAGCTTGAGTTAAGTGAATGAACGCATGTCAAGCAAATAAAGAAGAGACATAAAAAAGACACCAAAACAGGGGATAAAATAGCCAGAAAATGTAGTAGAAATTTTCCCTGCACAAATTTCAATTTTGGTCCCACTAGGTTACTTCAAAATTTTAGTTTTAGGTCGAGATCCAAATAAAGATAACGTTTGTTATATGGCGCAGGCTAAACATCACAATAAATCAAACTTAATAATTTAATATCGAGCTTCCTACCTGTGGTAAAATGGAGGAAATTGACAAACCTCAAAACGATTGAGATGCCCCCTATGTTGAAGGGAATATGTGAAACTTGCCCTTGTATTACAACTATCAATTGCTAGGTGACATTTTGGTTTAGTGATATTCTTTCTTGCTTGGAATTGAGTTGGATGTGTTAGATTCAACTAACTTGAATGACAAGTTTGATACTAAATTATTATAGTCGGTCCATTATTCTCTTTGCTGCTGGAGTAGTTGACATGGAGTTGGTATTGGACAATACATAAACTGGGAAGAAGAAGGGCAATAGCAGAACCATTCTGCATTTCTTACTTCATATATTCCTTGTTTTTCTTCTTCCATTGTCAACCAAATCCGACGCCAAGAATGGCCGATGCAGAGAAGAGGCAAGTGAAGGAAGCCTCTGTGAGAGACTGGTTGGAGAAGCTGAAAGATGTCTCATATGAGATGAACGAGGCGCTAGATGACTGGAACATTGAACTTCTCAAACAATCAATTGAGAAACAAGTAGAAGAAAGTCCTCTTGCTACACATTGCTTTTGTTCTCCACTTGAAATTCGATACAAGTTCATGAGTTATGGCAATATCCAAACTATTTACAATGACGAATTAGATGAAATTCATGCAGCAAAGTTGTTTGATATAATATGGTGAAATGTGTAAGAGGACAATGTAATTTCAGGGGGTTGGGCAAGTAAAATACAGAGAGTGATGGCTGTAGGATTACGGCATTTAGGAAGTGCCTGCGGAACCAAACTTCTTATGTGCTTTAGAGCTATCCTGAGCATTGCTACTTTCCTCAGTTGACTTATCTTTCGCATTGCTATAATCCTCGGTTTCAGAGTATTTGAAAGTGTCTGCTGAACCAAACTTCTTACGTTCTTTATAGCCATCTTGAGCATTGCTACTTGCCTCAGTTGACTTATCTTTCGCATTGCTACTTGCCTCAGTTGACTTATCTTTCGCATTGCTACTTTCCTCAGTTGACTTATCTTTCGCATTGCTATTATCATCGGTTCCAGAAGCACGGGGTTCCAATGAGTCAGAGGTACCTCTTTTTGCCGCGCAGTCTCCGTTGCCAAGAATGTTGACTTGAGAGTGTCTAGAGATTTTAATATCTATCATCCCAGGTGGTATTTGTTTCAATGGTGATCCATCAATCCTCATCTTTACAGATTCTGCAGCACCCTTAAACTCAAAACGAATTTCTTGTACCTAACAGAGGAGGGAAAAGCAATTCATCGGTGACTTCATTTCTAAAATTCAAACACATATCATAAATTTGCTCGCTTGTTACGAGCACATAAAGAACCAAGTACTGAAATCAAGTTCCTAAAAATCAAAATTTGGCTTTATGGTATGTTTTTCTTGCCTGATGCGTATGTGTAATATCTGGGTAGTTTTACAAATTAGAGATTAAATAAAATAAAAGAAACAAACAATCGAAAAGTCTAAACATAAATGCAAGATGTTATATGACCTGATCAAGATAAATACGTTCATTCTGAGCCAGTAAAACTTCTTTCAAACCGACAATTTCAAGCTGTCCATCATTTATGACCGACGGGTTCATGTTCTGTTGTTCAATTCCAACCAATAAAGTGTTAATTTACGACTGTAAAAAGGAAATAACGAAGAACACTGTTTGCAAATTCTAACGAAAAAAAAAATCATTAGCCTGTGCACTCACACAAATAAAAGGTAAAGAGCTAAAAACTAAAGAACCTCACTTTTCGATCTTTGTTCATATTGGTTGATCCCCCAAGATCGCTTGGCAAGTTAAGACAAACAATTGACTTGATTCTGTACACCAAAAAGAAACTTAGAATGCCAGCAAGAATTCCGCATCAGTATGCATGTTTGTGAATTTGTTCCTCTGTTGTCCATTTGTCCATGCATGTTGGCTTGTTAATAGAAGAATGTATATGTGTGTGTGTGTGTGTGTACAGAGCATTGCCCTTCAGTTTGTTTGACAATGACAGAAATATGCCAAGATAGGGGAAATAGTCCATAGTCGCTTCGTCAATACTTGATACACTAATGAAAATTTCCATCTGTTTGGAGTAAAACAATTATCAAATCCAAGGGGGAAAAAGGAAAAATGGCTGGAAGACGCCATAATGAAAAGTCAAGAAACATTTTTTCTCCATTTAATCATGCAAACCAGTGAGATCTGAGATGAGAGAATGAAGCATGGTTCATAACAACATATTTAAGAAACTAAATTACACATTAGTATAATCGATTTAAAATGTAAGTGTCCGAGTTAAAAGAAACAAAAATGAGGTGAATATAAGTTTGATTATTTACCCGCTAGGAATTTTAAGTGGTTCCAAACGACCATGCTTCATAACCTCTACGTTTACAAGTGATTTTAGGGACCTGTTTGGGACAAAAATAATTTTAATATCAAAGAACGAATATTCTAATAACAAAAAATCTAAAACATCTGAGCTGGAGTGCCATATTAATTCAATATCAAGTGTAGCCTCCATGCTTCTGCACTGCTGGTCAGCCACAAGTATACATGCCAGGCCACCAGCAGTATTCATGTTGCAGTACCAGAAATTCATAAAACATGGAGTTTGTACTGTGGACATCTGCTCCTTAACCAGCATGTTTCAATGACTATTCATAGTAACATTATGTATTCAACTTGGCTTAAAGTATATATGAAGTGTCACACCCTGCTAATTACATCGGTAACTATAAAAATCATACGTCATGACTCGTGGGATAAAACCATTGTGTAAAAACTGATGGTAATTTCAACCCAGCAATAAAAACAGGGTATTGCATACACCTATAGACTAGATTTTAACACCTAATTGGCAATGTAAACAAGCACGAAAAAGGCCAGGGAATGCATACATTAAGTCCTCACCTTAAAGATTGAGCTCATGTAGCCTTTACTGTACAGTTTTTTGTGTTTAATGCTGTATGACACCAACAGGGTAACTTAGTGGGTCATGGTGAAGGCTTATTATGATTAAAGCTGACATCAACATGACCCGATTCAGGGATTCTATAGTTTTAATGGCTTTTGTTGGTGTCTTGAAGGGTTAAGATTCAAGAATTTCAATACTAACAGATTAACCCTTATATTAATAAAAATAAGTACACTAATAAAACTTAAAACTACAATGTTAGATATCTGTATTTAAAAATGTGCATTTGCCACCAGCATGACCATAGATCTTGTCAATTTCCTCTGATAGAAATCTAACGAGTACATCTGTGACTGTCTAAAGTGCTTAAACAACACACAAAATGGTAGTAACACAATCACTAACAGATACAAAATATATAACAAGAGCTTTCAAACCAACTTCTCAATTACATGAACATAAGCTAAATAACTACCTTGCAGTAGACCAGTAACCTCCGCATGATCTTGGAGCATCAACTCCTGTTGGCATATAAATAGACAAGACACTGTACTTATAGTATTTATTAAGGTCATTAAACTTGAATATCATAAGACCAACTCCAAATGAAAGAGAATTTTTATCTTCACAAAGTAATTTATGGACCCCATACCAAGAAAACAAGAATATAACATTACCAATATTTAGATATGTGTCAATTAAAGAAGATGATGAAGTCCTCAAACCAATAAACATAAACACAACAGGAACCCTGGTCTGTTTCTATGGTAATATATTTGGTTTTCATTGGAAAAATAGTATATAATCAGGAACCGTGGTCCTATTAGAATATAGAAAAGTTCATTAAAAGGTCCATGCACCCATCTCATTTCACTATATCTTGAATAAAAGAATTAATAATGCTTTATTGGCAGTCTTTCCTATTTCATGTGCTTCTGCACTCATTTTTAGTTCTCCGCATATCATCCATCAGTTTTGTTGTTTTCCATCAGGTTTACACTCCATCAGGTTTTCAGAATGCCTATTTAACATTCACGGAGCATTTAGACATCTAGCGAGTAAATCAAATAAATTGCAGCATGGATTTCAGGTAAACAATGACATCTTCATCTAGCGAATAACCAAATGGTTAAAAGTTTCCTATTGAACTGATTTCTAGCAAAATTGATTCTTAAAGGGAAAACCATACAGCTATGTATCAATGAATGGAAAAAGGGTATATCTGAGAGGATTAAGAAGGAAAATGAAAATATAAAAAACAAAAACCCAAAACCAAAATCCAAAAACTTGGTGGCTGCCTTGTATACTCTTACCCAAGCTGAAATAGCTCCAGAATCCTCCTGATAATTCGAGATTATCCTAAAAAAATGAGAAGTGAGGGTAAGGAGAATTAACTAAAAATGAAAAAGTACATACTTCATAAGTAGATTGTTCATATGTGGTCCTTCAGTACTGCATGTTGAAACCTCTTTTACCAACCGCCAATTCAAAGTACAAACAAGTCAGGATCATATCCCTGAAGTCATGGTGATTACAAGAAATTTCACCATGAATCTGGCTAACCATTTGATTCACCCAGTAAATATTGATGATCATTCCAAATAAATCGGAACCAACCATGACGGGGCAGAAAAGGCCCAAGAAATATCAAACTTGCCAACGTTAATAAGATTTAAGTTCACAAGGACTTTCATACTGGCACTCCTCACCTAATTGAGAATACTTTGTATAAAGCACTTCTACTTAGTAGTATTCTAATTAGTGGGAACTTTTAAGAAAAGCATAAACCTCTAATAAGTAGTAACCCAAGTGCTTCTTATATTCACTAGCAAGCAATAAGTGTTTCTCCAGGAACCACTATAAAAGCACCTCTGTCTATTTTATCCAAACACTACCTAAAGAATTGTTGATAACTGGAAGGTCTTTTGTTATTGTCACAACAGTGTGAAACAAACCTATAAAACCTTTGGATGCCTAAACCGTTTTGTTTACTTAAATTAGAAAACTTAATGAATTCATGTTTGTGTTCTCAAGTTCTTGAAGTCAAGGGTATTTTTGGAAACTCAAGATCTGTTGGATATAGGCTATAATCAGGATCCAAGAAGCCTACATCAAATCTATTAGGACCCAATACCAACCTTCCACAAATACCAAAGATGAAACTTAGAGGTGTATAGGAGGGAGGTGGAATATTTCTCCAGGTAGTGGTGAACACATTTTATCTCAAATTACAAGGAAAGCTTTGAAGTCTTTCTGTCATAGAGTAATCAAAGGTTGCAATAGGATCTGCACCTTTGATGTGATTGACTTAACATGGTGCAGTCCACGCAATATAAAATTTCTACAGTGCTGCCACCAGCATTTGTGTGGTACTAACGTCAGCACATACCTCTGATTACCATTATGGTTAAGCCAGCCCTCTATTATGGATTTCTCCACTGCCAAGGTGTTATCTACAAAGATATTATAATTTATGAAGGTAAAGGATGCTTGAAGAAGAGAAGGAAATAAAATCAAGAGCAAAGGTCTAAGAAAATATATTAAATTGACAACTGACAAGTAACAAATATTTTCTATAAACTGAACTAATCTACGATTTAAGTTACAGTATGACGTCATCATCATTCATTGAATACTTCATTAATCTCAGGATCACAGAAAAGATAGGCCCGTTGAGAATAAGACTTAACACTAGAGGGTAAAGGCATGAAAAGAGAGATTTTTTGTTGGTCCAAATAAAATGGTGATCTTTCTTTTTATCTCAAAGAAGTGATTCAAATGGATAGAGTAGGGGGTTTGGGGATGGGGAATTGAGCACTTGGTTACCTCAGTTTCTGTAGCCCCTTTGTGAACCTTAGTTTCTGTAGCCCCTTTGTGAACGTCAGTTTCTGTAGCCCCTTTGTGAACCTCAATTTCTGTTGCCCCCTTGTGAACCTCTGTTTCTGTATCCCCTTCGTGAATCTCAGTTTCTGTATCCCCTTTGTGAACCTCAGTTTCTCTTGCCCCTTTGTGAACCTCAGTTTCAGTAGCCCCTTTGTGAACCTCAGTTTCTGTATCCCCTTTGTGAACCTCAGTTTCTGTAGCCCCTTTGCGAACAGGACGAAATACATGAAAAGAGTGTGGTATTTCTTTACGATCTGTAGGACTTTGAGTAGTTCTCATCTTAATGAGAATATGCCAGCTGAAACCCAATAATAATCACATAAGATTACCACTGGAAGCCTATAACAAATATGCAATTCACATACAAAAGCCCCATATATAACCCAACACCATTCAATTTCTAAATTTTCTTAGAACCAAATTATGGGATCCATTAAAACATACTCAAGTTTGGCTTGTTTGTCTACTGGAAACGGTCTATCAATATATTGTCTCAAGCCTGGCTTGTTTGCCCAAACCCTTATTGTACTTTTCCTCAAATTCCAACTTGTTTTTAATAAGAAAACAATAAATATGAGTTAGACCTGTCAGTTTTTATCTGTTGTGCCTCTTTTACTTGATACAGGAATGATTTCACTGATTGACGATCAACTTTAGGCACCTTCTGCAAAATAGCAAACAAATTATAACTTAAAAGAAGCATACAATACTGACCTAGCAAAACCATATTTTAGACAGAAAGCAGAAGAAGAAAGTGCAGAAGTAGGTAACAGCCACTTTCAGTTTCATTCTAATGTGACAATGAAATTAGACCCTCTTCCGAAGCTCTAAACCACACACACCTTCTACATGTCTGTATATACTTATAGTAGTTATCAAATCATGCTCTGGAATCATGTGCGGGCTCAAAGTTGTCCCGACCCAGCACTCTTCCCAAAACCTCACCTTATTCCTATAACCCACCTCAATCAACAACAAAAGAAGAAAAATAATTGATCCCTTGAAAGATGCTGTCATAAACTAAAAGATGTCCTACCCATCCAAACGAAAGTGGGATGTTATTTTCAGTCCCATGTGATATTGGCACAATGGAGGGCGACTCTGGTAATTTCAGATCACAAATAACTCCAAGAATCCGGTTAACCACATCACCCCCACCAACAATCTGAAAAGAAATATATGTTAGAAAGACAGCTACCGCACAACCCAAAGATTAATTAAGGGAAAAATATCCAAAATGTATGTGAGAAATTGTTGAAATTATAAATACAAATCCAAAAACCAAAAAAAGAAGAAAAAGTGTTGAACAATTGGCTATAGCGATAAATTTAACATGTTACTCACTATAATTCTCATCCTCTTTTGAATATCATCAGCAAACTCATATTTTTTACTCTTATGTAGAGCACCATAAACCTCCTTTAGCACGCCCTCAGGATCCTCTACCTTTATTGGTCCCTTAGAATCAGAGTCCTCTTCCAGCACACCAAAGACCTAGGAAAGAAATTATAATTTGAACACTATCAAGTTAAGCATGTTTACAATCATACAGGTTAGATTTCCTTTTTAAAATAATCATTTCAAAATGCCTTTCCTCAAGGAGAGACAATTACAAAGAGAAAATAATACCTGCTTTTTATTAAGACGGTAGCAAAATTCGTTATAGAGTTGTACTCCAAGCTTTTCATCTTTTATATCAACAAACACTAAAACTGGGCAGCTTGGTCTATCGACAGAAGGTTCACCAACCAAATCATGTTTAAGCAATTCATCAGGTATATACATCTCCTTCAAGAAACGTTTGGACCTACAATTTGATCCGCAGTATTCTTATTGCACGTAAATATGAATTTTGGGGAACCAAATCTTAACAAATATACGAATCACCTTATTTAGTTCACTTCTTCATATATAAAAGAACTTGAAACAAATTCAAGGTACAGCAGCATCAAATACTAAGCATTAGTCTATACTCCACGAAATTCAATATTATATGTATGTAACACTATCACAATAAAGGAGTTACACTGAAGAATGAAGTACACAAATTCACCCATATATCTACAAAACCCATCAACGAAAAAGAGGGGTTTAGAAGAATACTCAATCTCACGAATCTGCTCTGGAATGATTCCTGCAAGCGCCTTAGCAGCCAATGGAAGGCCATGACATTGATCCTTAATTTCATTCTCAATCTTACGCAAAGTTGTGTGACATGAAATGTTTAAAACTTCTTTGTTATTCTTCATAGTCTCCTCAAATATGCTCCAGCAAATTTCTTTGTCCAAAGGCTCAACATAAATCAAGTCCCTTTCTTCCACCACCTTTCGAGCCACTTCTGTTAACCTACTAGTGACAATGACCGCACCACCACTACCCTTAGGCAATCCGCGCCATAAGCGATCCTCAATGCTAATGTGGCGCTGCTGCACATCATCCAACACAATCAGATACCTCTTACCAGAAAACAGTTGGTTAAGCCTTTCCAAGAGCTTACCAAGGCCAACTATCCTCCCATCCAGAGTTTGGCCCAAATTATCGACAATGCACGTCTCAAAGCTAAACCTACTATACTGTTCTTCCTCTTTCCTCATACCCGAAAAGGGTAACCAAATTATAGGATTAAACTTACCCTTAACTCTCTCCATTTTCAAAACCTTGTGCACCAGGGTGGTCTTACCCACACCAGCAATCCCCACCACCCCAATTGTCCTAAACCCATTTCCGGTAGAGCCCTCCCCACACAGCAAGTCCTCAACTTTCTCTGCCTGCTCATCAAACCCATAAACAACCTGCTCATCAAACCCATCAACAACTGGACAAGGTGGCAGTTCCACCTCCTCAGCCCAACAATCTCCGACGTCATTGTCCAGCCGCTGGGCGCCCCCCAAACTCTCCAGCTCCTTCCTCAATCCATCCAGTCGATTATTCATCTTCTGGATGAAGTAAAATCCAAAAGGGTTGAAGAGTAAGAGCTTCTTGTTGAGCTCCTTGCATTCCCTTGCGAAGATTCGGCACTCGGCCAACGCGTCGTTGAGTTTGTAGAGAAAATCGATGATTTCAGAGTTGTCGTAAGGAGGGCGGGGCATTATATCTATCTCTCTGGCCCCATTTTTGATCGACCTGAAGGAAGAGATGAGATTTTTTATTGTTGTGAAGTACATGATGGAAACTGAACCTGATAATTCCGACTCGGCGTCTCGAAGCGAGCTCAAGAACTTTCTCCATTGAAATTCTGCAACGTCCACTGCCATTGATGCTCGTTGTTGTCCAACAGTGGGCGCTTAGCTTTAATTCCGTGAATTCATGAGGGAAGGAAACCCCGCCTTTGGTTTGGGCATCAAATGCCGTTCACATTCACCAAGAAAAGAATCAAAAAGTAAAAAATTATTAAACACTCCCTAAAAACTTGTGATTTATTCCAAAATAAAACTTGTCATTTATTTTCCGCTCTCTAATTTGAAATTTGGGTGCTTAACTGTTGATGGATGCCAAAATAAAATACAAAGATACGTAGAGAAAGTCGGCGGAAGTAATTTTTTGTTAGTGGATCAATCAGAAAATTTGTTTAGAGTGTGATTTCTCCCTGAATTTAATTATATTGATTACACTCACCTTTTCTACCCTCGTTCATGTATAAGCTGTACTTAAGAGTGAGTACGTAACTGTTAAAGATGTGTTGATTTGGGAAATGAATAAGGATTGTATTTTCAAAAGGTATGTGTTGGAGTTGATTTATAAATAGAGCGTTCTGTGTATTATCAAAATACTGAGAGGAAGAAAAGATCAATAACATCAATATTTATCCCTCTGTCTTTTATTTGTCATTCCTTTGTATTATAGTTACAATTAGGGGTGGGCACGGTGCGGTTCGGTGCGGTTCCACCCCTAAATTGAAACCGGAACCGAAATATATTAACGGTTCGATTCGGTGCGGTTCCACTTAAATTTATTACTAGAACCTTACGGTTCGGTCTACACCGGTTCCGATCCGGTTCTTGCCGGTTTACGGTTCCTAATAATAAATTATTTGAACCACATCTAGTTTGATCCACATTAACATCCAAGCAGAAATTAGTCTATATCCCAAAAATCACAACCGTCATATTTTGTACAGCTACCGAGTTATCTGCGTGATAGCTATCGAGTTCCACAGCAGAAATTAGTCTATATCCAAGCAGAAATTAGCTCAAACACTGACTGATACCAGCAAGCAAAGTTCCACAGCTCCAGTTTTGAACTAACCCTGCATGTTATCTGCGTGATAGCTATCGAGTTCCTTGTCGAGTTCATCAACCGACTTCTCCACAGGCTTCTTCCTCCCTTCTCCACCACGACCACGCCCGCGTCCACGACCACTGCCGTTGCCACTCCCACGTGGTTTGCCACGACCATTTTTGTTCCCTCCACGACTGCTCCTACTACAAAATCCAAAATCATTGTAACTGTAATCACGGCTTGAAATAGCAGTCAGAGGATAATTGAAAAAAGTCTGGTTAAAATGGGATTTCAAAGTAGACTTCAAACAACTCAGAAATGATCGGAATAGTTTGTACAATGAAATTTCTGTACTGTCTGATCAGGGAAAGATGCATTCTGATATGACAAATAAGTAGAAATGCAGTTTGACAAAACTATAATTAGGTCACTGATAAACAACTAAATCAGTTCATAGTACCTAAAATATGTCTACTGAGTTCATCCAAACAGAGAAACAAGAATTCGACCATCTAAACTCAATTGATCATACAGATTTGCTCTTACGTGGTTAAGTGACATACATTTCTAAGCTAAGGTAGGCTACTACAGTCATTATTGAGTTGCAACTTTCAACTCATAAGTTTCCCAAAGTTAATTAACAAAACAGCAATTGAGCACGCCATCAACAGCCCCAAAAAAATGCAACATTTGAAGCGAGAAGAACAGCAGCATATCCAACAATAGTTAAACCAGTATAGTTTACGAAAGATAGAATCAGAGTAGAAACAGAGATTGCAACTTGCTGCCACACACAAAAGGGAAAGATTAAGGAGAAAATGTGATAAGGAAGGTGCTAAAAAAATTAAAGTTACATACATACCATCACTAGTAAAAGGTGATAAGTTAGGATTGAATAGTTTATGAATCTGCAATGCTATTGCTAGATGTGCCACCATTCCTTTTTTCTAGAACATATAAAAATTAAGAACTCATTAGCAAATAAGAAAGTAAGCATGCAATAAAACAAGAGAAAAAACAAAGTAATGAAAAATAAATATTCATACCTGTTTCAAGTGCTTCATAAAACTCTATATCTTCCAAGATTGTCTCATCGTCTAAAATTGAGATGTTATCTGACATCAACCAATTTTGAGTACAAATTAACCTCTCTACCATTAGAGGAGTCAATGAAGAACGATATGAGTTCACAATCCTTCCTCCCGTGCTAAAGGCAGATTCTGAAGCTACCGTTGAGACCGGAATTGCAAGAACTTCCTTTGCAATTAGTGCCAACACTGGGTATTTAACACCATTCAATTTCCACCAATTTAAAATATCAAAATCTTGACCTACTTCCACTTTTTCATTGCGATCTAACAAGTACCTATCAAACTCATGGTTTGAGAGCACGGCATTACTTGCTTCAACTTCTTTTATCCAACTTTCATCCATTTCAGCTCGTTTTTTCCCCCTTCCATGTTGAGTTGGATTAGCCCCACCAATAGTAGTTATAGTACTAGTAGTATTAGAACAACTACTAGCACTAGAACCACTTGGTTGGTTGGAAGAAGGAACATATTCATCATATAGTTTGAAGATTAGGCTTTTTATCTCATCCTTTTTAGCCATGGCTTCATCAATACTACACCCACGACGCTTCAAAATATGTGGCACATAACCCAGTTTATATCTTGGATCAAGCACAAGTCCGACAAATAGAAAAGGATTCACTTTAACAAGATCACCCCAATACTTATCAAATTTTACCTTCATGCTTCGTGCCATTTCATGCAATATCAAGCTTGTGTAGGTTTGAGTCAATAACATATCTTCTTCGATGAACAAATCAACTATCTCTTCATCAATTGCAAGCAAATCAGAAAAAGTACTATGACAAGCCGGATGCAAAGTAACACTCATCTTCAATGTCATTTGATAGAACACTTTCAAAAAATTGACAAAAATAGCAGCATTACTCCAATCTTCCATATTTGGTGGCCCATACCTCTTTTTACCATTGGAAGGTTCACCCACCCGTTCTTCTTCTTCCGGCAAATCTTCACCAAACCATGACAAGTATGCAATCTCATCATCTCCCATTCTCACAAAAGCTTTTTCAAATTTCAAAGCATTCGTTAACATCAAATAGGTGGAATTCCACCTAGTTGGCACATCTAAAAAAACAAGACCCTTGCATTCAATTTTTTCCTTCTTAACACAACTCCTAAAAGCTTCCACCCTTTGTGGAGAAGACGTTACATACACCAACGCATTCCTAATAGCTAAGATGGATTTATCTAACGTCCTCAAACCATCTTGAACTATCAAGTTAACAATATGAGCACAACACCTAACATGCATGTGCTTTCCCTTGAGTATCAACACAGGTTTCTTCACAAAAAGTTTTGGAGTTGAAACGTGAGACGATGACAGCAAGGAAGAACCCTGCACCAACTTCACTCTTTTACTGAGTACACTTAGGAACACTCACCATTTCATGAGAAAATAAATTAACAACAGTTTAAATGCCTCTGCCCCTACGCAACAACAGTTTAATATTGAGAGGACAAATTTCATGAGAATATTAACTTGCATAAATGTTTGATAAGTTTTCTTACAACAAAACAATTCGAAAAACCCAGAAAAATTACCTTTAGCTTTGCTGATTGCGCTGCTGTGGAACCTGAAATTCGAACAACAATGTTTGTGGAACCTGAAATTCAAGTTAATCAAGAATTCAATTTAATGAGCTATTCCAAAACCCAAAATTCAAAAATTGAAACTTTGAACAATGGCTGAAAGTTGAAACAATAACAAAAAAAGGGAGTACCCGAGGGCGAGGAGAGAGGTCGAAGCGTGAAGCCGTGAAGCGGTGAAGGCGTGAAGGTGTGAAGGTGTCTCCATGTGAGCGGCGTGCGTGCAGCGTGAAGCCGTGAAGGCGTGAAGGAGGTGTCTCCGTGTGTGTGTAAGTGAAAATGAACCCTAATTGGGATAGGATCCTCTGTTTTGCAATTTAATGAAACCAATTTTTTCAACTTATTATACCACGACATGTGTGTGTATATATAATTTATTTATTTTTTATTAATAAAACGGTTCGATTCGGTTCGAACGGTTCTTGGTCCTTCGAAACCGGAACCGGAACCGGTTTGAACGGTTCGGTTCGGTTTTTCACTCAAAGTTGACTTTTCCGGTCAACACGGTTTTTTTCGGTTTTTTTTCTTACGGTTCGATGCGGTTTTGCGGTTTGGCGGTTTTTATGCCCACCCCTAGTTACAATATGATATTTTACACCTGTTTCGTTTCTATTACTAGTAAATATTATCTCTTTAACTTTTGCCTATTTATAACAAAAAAAAAAAAAAAAACTTCCACACGTAACATGCCTATGTTGAAAGGTGTCCAACTAAAACGCCATGAATAGAAGTGAAAATTTAGGCCAACGACATGAACCAAAGTGGGATTTGGCCTTCATCTAATGTCTTTTTTTGTTTTTTTATTTTGAGTATGATATTCATTGATAAGAAAGGAATACGCACAAAGTATGAATAGTATGTTAACATGGGGCTCGATAAAAACTTATGCAAGAGCTCGAAGCTTTCAACCTGATCGAAGAAAAAAAGAACGTCTCACACAAATAAACGAGTGTTTACTATCCTCACATCGCCAGGCAAATACAAATTAATTTGATGCATCTTCAAATAAAGCATCCAAAATTAAGTCCGGAGGTTCCGTCAGCCATATTAGCTCCTGAAAGCTTCCAACTCCAGCGCGAGCAAGCCTGTGAGCCACCTGGTTTTCCTCCCGTCTAACATGGTGGAGCTTGGTCTGCGAAAAGTCACTGAGAAACGCACGGATATCGTTGATTATTGGACCCAGGGGAGAGCTATCATCTCCATGGCCGTTCATGGTGGCAATGGTAATAAGAAAATCCCCTTCCAGCACAACCCGAGACTCATGATGATGGATTTGTTTGATGAACAGGAGAGCACTTCGCGCGGCAAGAAGCTCCACATGCAAAGCTGATGCCGCAAACTCAACTCGCGCAGAAAGC